TCCAGCTGCAGCGTGTGCTCGAGAACGAGGGTGAACCGAAAGAAGTAACAACAACAGCACTAACAGTCGTGGCGCCGAGAGCAGTGGCGACGACGGCCTCAGCGGGATCGACACCAGCGGCGGTAGCTGCGTCAAATAATAGCAGCGATAAGGGGTTGCGAAGTCGTGAACACGCGCGGCTTACCGAACGCGCGGCGCGACGAAGCGCGCGCAGGCGACCGGCTATCAGGAGGAGCCAGTACGTAGCAATAGATTGCTGGCACACGTGTACGAGTGCGACCGGAAGAACTGCGGCGAAGCGCTGCTCAGCACGAAGCGCGCTGGCTGGTAACTAGCCATGTGTGAAGTATCGTAAGATCTATAGGACAACGGCATGTAGACTGTGATCAAGCGCCCTCCGACCAGCAACGCGCTCCACACAAAGTGGGTCTTTAAGTATAAGATAGACGCGCTCGGGATTATCGAGTGATTAAAGGCTCGACTATTCGCCTGCGGGAACGAGCAGGTCTTCGACGTCGACTGCCAGCTTGCCTTTGCGGCCGTCAGGGACATGACGACCGTGAAGGTGATCCTAGCGCTAGCGGTGACGTGAGACGTCCCGGCAAAAGCGCATTGACATCCGGAACCATACGTCAAGGCGGACAAGAATAAACGCCTGAAGATCCTCCTTTGTGTGCCGCAAGCGATGGACATTGGCGACGACACGCTCAAGACGTTCGGTGTTGCTTACAGGAAGGCGGTATTGCTGCAGCCCAATAAGAGCCTGTACGGCCTAAATCAGGCTAATGGTCTCTGGAGCCATTTTCTCCATACTCAATTTTTTGAGGCCGGCTTATAGCAGTGCATCTCTGACATACGTCTGCACTGGTAGATCGAGAGCGAACAGCTGGTCGTCGTCAACGTTAACGTCGACGATCTGCTCGTTACGGGAACCTACACGGAAGCGGTCGAAAGGTTCTTCACCAAGCACGATAGCCTGCCGATCAAGGACCTCGGCATAGTGAGCAAGTTCCTCGGCATGCGCGGTGAGATCGACAGAAGCAGCGCGTATGTGCTCGACCAGGCAGAAGCGATCGGCGAGCTGCTCCGCGAGAACGGAGTCGAGAGCGCCAGCACAACACGAGCTTCGATCGACGCTTACTGCTACGACGTGTCGTTAGACGACAGTGCGCTCCTAAGTGTCGCTGGCATGGACGGTGAACCGAGCATCAGGACATTCCAATCCCTCGTCAACAGTCTGCTGTGGATGGCACGTTGTACGCGGCCGGGCAATGCGTTCGCTCAGCATGCACAAGGAGACGCGCCAGACGCATCATTTACGCGTGCACGACCTCAAGATGGCGACGCGTATCGCGCGGTACCTATAAAGGTACCCGCGACTCAAAGATACGAATGGCGCCAACAAAGGATCGCGACGGCGAGCTGCGGCTCGAAGCGTACTCAGATTTTAACTTTGCGGCCAACAAGAGCGAACGTAAGTCTCTGACCGTGGCGTCATCCGCCTCGAGGACATAGCGATAAGCTGTACGGCGAAGAAGCATGGCGACGTCTCACTCTCCACGATAGAGGCGAAGTTCGTTGCGGCGTCCGAACAAGCGCGAAATCTTCTTGGAATCCGCGAGATGCTGAGTAAGATCGGGAAGCTTTTAGCGCTACCGATGCTGCTCCACGTCGACAACCAGGCGGCGCTGAAGCAGCTAGTGAGCGAGGCGTCGTCACTCCGGGCGAAGCACACCGACGTCCGCATGAAGATCGTCTGCGACTACGCCCTTCGAGGGATCGTCGCGGCGCAGTTCGTTCGCTCGAATTTTCAGCTCGCGGACCTGCTCATGAAGGCAGTCTACGCAGCCAAGGTAGTGGCTCTGTTCGAGCTGATGATGCTATAGTAGTTGTGCGGGAGTCATGGCTGAGGAGTAGTGTTAAAAAGGAGTGTCGCTGTAAGTACGATCGCGCAGGAAGCGCGCCGGGCGGCGATGGTGAATGCGGCGCATGACGTTGTCTTCGTGAGGAGAATACATTGTCTGACACGATATTTAACATTTGCTGATCGAGTGGACAGGAAGGATTACACGAGAAAAGTAGAAAGATGTATAGCACAAGATAAATGACAGAATCATTTTGCCACCGTGCTCCGTACTACCTTTCTACGTCTAGCGACATCGCGAACGAAGATTGGATAGAACGGACTTACATAATTTTAAGTGTCGACGATCTACTGCGCGCACTTTGTGTCGCATTCGTAATCTCAAGGACAGCTTCGATCATGAAGAAAAGATGATTTGGGATCAACATTAGGTCAGATGACCACAATATCAGATGAGTTGCGTAGCCTTATACACCTAGCTAAACATATCAAAAGATATATAGTCTAGATCTTAAGAGCATGCAAAGATGAAATATTTCAAAGGCTTCTACCAAGATCAATGTTACCAGTCACTCCATTGATGAGGTAATACAGATGTTCGCTGGCATCGACCTGTGACATCATAGACACTCTGCGTCTCTCAGGAGCTATCTGGCGTCGCCGAAGTCTCTGTGCCGAGACCGTACTCCTCCTAGAGGTCGGAATATTCGTGTTCACGAGAATAACAGGGTTCTCTACCTTACATTCCTCTATGCGAAAGTTGATGTCTGAATTGATATCCGATGATGAGTGACACATCTCGAGTTCATCATCCACTAAACGTTAACGTATCACGATTTTTAACTAATGAGCTGTTTAACTAGCATGTTTAACTAGCATGTGGCGTGTTAAAATAGCATCACCGTTGGTGAAATTGGATATAATGTATCCCTGACATTCCATTTCCAGCATACTTACATCCTCTGTAATGGTCTCGCACCAGTGGCGCTTCTGTTGCCTAGAGAAGGTGGATACATGAATATCTAATGCTTCGCTAGGAACATTGCGCGTTACGCCCACGGTCTTTAAACCGCAACTAATTCATGGCTCATGGCGTTTAAGCCAGGGTACGTCGTTCATATGCGCTTGTCGACTAACGACCGTTTCCGCTACTGTGTTCGCCTGCCAGGATACCGGTGCGACTTGCTGCTCGTTGTCGTCTGCTGCGCGTCGCCCGTACCTCCTACAGGGCCAATCACCCCCAAAAAGTACAGCCCCATCAGCTTCTGCCCACCCATTGTCCATTCCGTTTCTTCTCGGATCCTTCGTAAGGGCAGGTCCTCATACCATCCAGCAGCTACTCCATCACCGTACAAGCTCATGAACCTGCAAGAAACGGAGTCACCCTCACTATCGTCCCCATCACATGTGAACATGCACTGAACAACACTCGATGCGCGCCTGCGTTCTCCGAGTTGCTCCCTGTGGCAGCGATAGGTAGCGCTGCCGTAGCTAGTGACACGAGGCCGCCAAGCAGTCCACTGCTATCGACGACTTCTCAGGCTTCGGAATGCACCCAACGACTACGAACTCACTGTCGTCTTCGTCCATGAGCACGACGCAGCTGCGAATACTGCGCGTGGGTCTCGCTCCGCCAAGGATGCAGCACCAGGTACTCACATCCGACACCGAGGACATTGTTCACACCACAGAGTGCAGCTCAAAGCCTGTCGCCATCAATCAAAGACGCCTGGGCTCATCGATACGGCGCTGATTCGCGCATACGCGACAGCTCACAGACACGGGACATGGTCATCTCCTCCCTTCTTGCCACCTGTCCAGGTCGACGACGACGACGATGATGACTTAAGACTTCCGACGACGGACGGACGAGACAACTGATCCCACATTCCAAGTAAGACCGTGGACTGGCCATAATCATTATACCGGTACTCCACGCGCGTACAACGCGGAGAACGACCAAGAGTAGAAAGGCCGATCCTCATCGTGCGTGCGTACGTGCAAACAGTAGCACCTCGCCAGTAAGCAGAATGCTTGATTCATTGCTTTGACGTGCTTTCCAGTAGTAGCTCATTACGCACTACATCGGACCGAACGACACTTGTCTAGCTGGAACGAGTATCGTCAGCCGGTATTCGACCATCTGGAAAGAAGCAAGTGGTTTCGCTGTTCTGCAGCGTCACTCCGAGCAGCCCGTCATGCTGTTTCAACATAGTCGTGCCATCTGGAAACACAGAAAACTCGTCACCGTTTGCGGAAATGGTCTTTGTTGTGCCGTCGGTAAACCGGATCTCAACCAAGCCATTCGGCAAAGTGGTCTCAATCTGCTGATTCGCAAATTCGTACACTCTGCGGCTGTCTGGATACGTCGTCAGCGTCGTCTGAGCCTCGTAGTAGGAGTATACGCTGACTCCAGTGTCCGGGAAGAATTATAGCAGCAACATTCATCACAACGATTCGGTCACGAACAAGTACCAATATCTGCAGCACAACAACAGCAATCGTTGTACCTCTCGACGGTCACCATTCGCAAATTCAATCACGAAGTGGCCACTTGCGTCAATGTCCTTTGTACTGCCGTTCGGAAACATGATCGTTCTACTTCCACCCGCATACGACAACTCCCTTTTCCCACCCCTCTGCCCTGCCTCTTTCGCCATAACATTAAGCCCCAACAGAGATGTTACCGCTAAGGTCACATCGTTCTTCTCGCGAGCATGGCAGTGTTGATCGGTGCAGCCAATTTCGTGCCGACCGTCGTCGTTTCTAACGACAGTGGAAACCCATTCAGAAGTTGCAGAATGACTTGCACGCGCGTGATTCGCGCCGCTGGCAAAGTTCGTTCCACTTGGACAATCCATTCCACCCGTAAGGACCATGGATACGCACGAGTGGTGAGAGTCCTCGGCTGCTAACTTACTGCGCTCTCGTTCGCCGCCGTTCACCCTGTTATGATGATGGCAGCCCGAGAACGCCGTGTTGTCTTTGTTCTTGTCATCTCCGCATGCGCTGTCGTCAGAAGAAGTCCATTGCTGTGCCTTTCCTTCGCTAGCGCAAGCAAAGCCATTCATTTCGTGGAACCCGTTCTTCACACTGAGCACAGAAGGGGATGTAGAAGGCACGTCGGACTTTGTTGTCAATCTAGCAGCCTCTCGTATGTCTTAGGACGCCGGTCGTAGTCTCCACCCTGCTTGGAGTGACACTCCTTAATGAACTCGACTTCGTCACTAAGCTCACGATTTTTCTCTTCCAGTTCCTGTACAACAGCTTCCAGTTCCTGTGCAACAAGCAACGAGCACACGCATGACAAGCGTTTAGCACAGAACAACCAACAGTCAACGGCCAATCACGTACGGAAACACGTCGCTGCAACTTGCTAGTTGTTGCCTTCCATTTGTCTGCACGCACTTTTTCATCAACTTGCATATTCACAATCCGCGCCTCGAGCATTCCTATCTCCGCACACTCCTTTTCGTTCAGTTCAGCTGCTACAGTATTCTCACGCGTCTTGCATTGTCGCTAATGTAGCTTCTTCTCGTTCATTTTTGTGCGCTCTTGCTCCCAGTCTTCTTCGATCAACGTTCGCTGATGCTGCTTACATTGTGCAGCTTCGCCCCTCTCGGCAGCCAGCTTCGTTACTTCTCGGTCGTAACATTCTTTTTGATGCTGCAGCTGCAGCGTCTCTGCTTGGTTTTGCCTAACATCTTTGTCTAGCTCACAAAGTGCCTCTTCTAGTACAGCGGGTAGTCTCATACTAGAGTCCGCAATGTGCGATTCTCAGTTTCGCGATTGCGCACGTTTGCCGTTTCTGATTATTTCCTCTTGCATCGCTGGGGTACAAGAAACCGCAGTACTCTCCAGCTTACTTTGTCGCGTTCGTCCGTCATTATCGCGTCTTCCTGCGGTCATTGACGCTCTGGTGGCGGTCAGATGTTGCTTGCCCCGAAGTTTGTATTCGACAGTAGATCTGGCACCGTCCTGGAGGGATGGCGTCAGCACCCTTGCGGACGGGGCCGCCCGATCTTCTCGTATGCTGCTGCTGTTGCTGCTGCTGCTGTCAATCGGGCTTGTGTCGCCTTCGTCGAAAAGACTGCCACTATCGCTGTTTCGGCTGTGCTCGATATCTTCCAGAACTTGCTGCGCCAACAACGAAACAGAGGGACCGCCTCTTGGGTCACCACTTTCAGCGTCATGTACGTGTCGTTTGTCATTCATTCGACAACCGTGAGTCACCAAATGTACTCGACCTTTGACTGCTCGGTGCCTGTCAGTGTCACCAGTGAACTGGCCGTCATCGATGCACGAAGCGAGCACGGTAGCAGCAACACCGTTTGGACATCGATCGTGCGCTACAATTTCCCGCAGTCGCGCCAACGCACCGTCATGCCATGGCCCAGCATCGTCGAGACTCGAAGCACTCCACTTCGAAGATACGTTACGATGAAACTTGCGAAATTCAGAATGCTTTTCACATGCATCGACCGATTTCTTGCGTTGAGACCTCATGCCACGCACCAACAGAAGTGAATCGCTGGTAACCACCGCTGCCAAATCAGCGCGATCGTCACGACTGTCATCAAACGACAATGACAACCACGACTCCGGCCTGGCTGTCTGCCACCTCGAGTGGTCGACTTCCCCTACGTCCGCTACTAGCGACACACCGAACTTGGCCCAGTCGGTCCCTTCCGACTCGTGCCCACTCACCACTTTCTCTTGCTCGTGCGGTGGCAGAATCAGCTGTTGTGACTGTTGCTGCTGTTACAGCTGCTGTTATTCGCGCTGAGACGCGGCTGTTTCCTCGACGAGATGGCGCTCAATGGCCTCAAACTCGGCAATCTCCTGCGCTTCCCGCTGTTCCTTTGCTTCCCACGACTGCCGCGCGCTCGCCATACTCATCCCGTCCGAATCGTATGCCATCCAGGGACACAACGCGCGCTGTCCAGCTAAAGCGTCGCCACGTCCGCGCACCATTCACTACCTGTGCGGCAGTGCTGTGGCAGCAGTGCAGCTGACTGCCGCTTGTCCGTTGACGCCGAGCAGAAGGAAACCGATCGCCGTCTCTTTGACGACAGGTTCGTGCACGCGGGTCCTGCAGCGCAACAAAACAGAGTCGCGACCCGTTTGAAACGAGCGACTCGAGAGCTTCAGCGGCGGTGGCAGCTGGACACGCACCTGTGACACGAGGACGAGTGTCTGCTGGGAGGAGCGAGCGGAAGGGCGCGGACCAGCACCCGCGGGCGTCGAGCGCAGCTCCTGTCGAGTCTCGGCGCGAGAGGACGGGGACGAGGCCCAGCGTCCGGTTGCTGCGATGCCATGTGTTCGATTGCTATGGTATAGTGCGTTCAACTGTTGGGGTACCGTGCGTTTGATTGCCACGATGCCGTGCGTTTTGATTGCTATGGTGCAGAGCGTTCAACTGTTGGGGTACCGAGCGTTTGATTGCTACGATGCCATGCGATTTGATTGCTATGGTACAGTGCGTTCAATTGTTGGGGTACCCCACGTGCGTTTGATTGCTACGATGCCATGCGATTTGATTGCTATGGTACAGTGCGTTCAACTGTTGGGGTACGGTGCGTTCAATTGTTGGGGTACTGTGCGTTTACTTGTTGGGGAAGTTTTTACCGGAACCTGATTTCGATTGACTGAGAACCGTCGCCACGCTCGGTCGTGTATTTACGAGTGTAAGAAGCTGGTGGCTTGGTTTGTCGACATTTTTACGTCGTGGACGAACGGGTGGCTAGTGACGACCAGGAGCTGTACAGGACGACGACCAGCAGCTGAACAGGATTACGACCAGCGAAGCAAGGCAGTTGCCCTCAACTATCATTTCAATATTGACGCACGTCTCGGTCCCTTGATAGTTTGTATGTATTCACTGGGAGCATGATGATTTTTAATCTCTCGACGCATTCACGACGGTCATCTGAGCTTGTAAAATAAACTCGCAGTGGTGAAAATCGAGAAACAAACTAGTGCTGAACCTTCCAGTGTTCTTGTATTTCGTCTTTCATTGATACGAGAGACTTTGATTGTAGGCGCGGAAATGACGAACCTCTTGTATCTGTCAATCCACTGAGAGTGACGGTGAAGAAGACACAAGTAAGCTTTTTAACTGCAATCGCGATCCGCTCGCCATCCGTACACTGTCCATTTACGTGCTCATCTAGCCAAAAGGCCGTGCTCGTTGTTCGATGTGCCAGTGCATTTTTGATAGGACGCCAATCGTAAGGTAGCAAACGATAGGCAAGTGCAAAACGATTTTTTATACATACATTAAAGAAAAGCAAACGAAAATGCCCAACGCAAACTAGGTGGTGCAATGAGATTAGTGCATATGTATGAATTAAAATGAAACATTGTCGATCGTGAATAGTCAGTGCCCCACTCCCAGCTTAATCTGCTGACCCAAATTGCGGGCCTTCTTCAGCAACGTCCATGTTTCTTCCGCGTCCTTCAGTTGCTGCTTACTCAACCCTTTCTTGCCGACGCCTATGTCCAACATTATTGGACCGGAAGGCTTCTGACTGATAACGTCTACAAGGTGCTTCTGGGCAAGCGCATTCTTCTCGAGAGCACGCGTGACTTCTACGGCTTCGTCAGCAAGGCCATTAGGACCAGTGGCTGCTTTCCGAACGAGGTCGTTACGCATGCGGCTAATAATTAACTCATTGAGTGCCTTGTGCTGGAAGCTGTCTCGGGGTGTCTGATCGGTCACCTTCAGCGTTTTCATCATTGTCTCCAGATCCCACTTATCCGTGACAGCCTTTTGCGCATGTTGCTTAACTATCCGAGTGACTGCCTCCTTCTCCTTCTTCACAGCATCCTCCACAAGGAAAACCTTTGTGGCTTTGACCACGTCGACCTCTTTTGTGTAAGCGTGAGCATCGGCCAGGAGTTTGGCGGTCTTCTCATCCTTTGACGACGCACCCTTTGCCCCTCGACCCAGCGCAGCAGCGACATCGTCAGTGTACCTCGTCTCGTCCATGAGAGGCCCGAACCGCTTTAGGGCGTCCGGATTCGACGTGATCTGTTTGTAGTAAACGTGATAGTTCTTATCCTTAGCCACAACGCCAGAATACTTCTTCATGTCGTCGAGCCACCGACTCAAGTACGCTGTCGAATAGATGACGTCTGGATCGACCCCCCGCTTCAGATCGTCTTGATCGACGGCGCTCCGAAACTTTTTCGCCGTCATTTCCGGGTCTGCAAGAGGTATCCTGTACTTCTGTGCTATCTTATTGCGCTCTGTCATGACTTTCATCATCATATGACTGCTCATGGCGGGTTCCGCGACGTCATCCAGTTTCTGCACGGTTTTCGGTCCCCAAAGCAACTCATCCACGCGTGCCGGTGTCACTACCTCCCCTTCGTCGACGCTCTTCAGTGTGGGAGTGATTTTCGTCCCCGGTTTCGTCCTCAGAGATTGCACCTTCGGCGCGATTTTCGTTGCCGGTTGCATGGATACCCGTCCAGCTTGCGCACCAGATGTCGTACTCAATGGGTAGCTCTTCTTTGCGATCTCCGCACGTCTCAAAGCTGCACTCTGTGTTATGCTTGCAGTCGACGTCCCGGCAAGTGGCTTGAAATTGGTTAAAAAGGAGAAGGTTGGGGCTCTCTCTTCCTCCGTCGGCGAAAGCTTATCTTCCTCATCTCCCTCGTTCTTGTTCTCCTCATCTTCCTCGTCCTCGTCTCCGTCATCTTCCTCGTCCTCCAACTTGTGCACGCGTAACGATCTCTTGCTGACGCCAGGATCCGACTGGGTGATCTGGACCGGCGGCTGTGCTACGCCAGCGACGGGCAACGACTTGAGCTGCTGTAGATCAGGGATCGCACAGACGGCACTACCGACGGTGGTCAGGATAGCAATGATGTAGCTTAGATGCATGGTGAGCAGCAAGACGACGTCGAGGGGATAGAGAAGGCGTAAACGCGAGTGCGTTGCACGAGTGAACGGTCGAGAGCGAAATGAATAATGAGAGCTCTGCACTCCCCCGTCAGGATGCTGGCATTCCCTTTGAGCTGACCGTCCTTCGATTGCACGACAGCAAACTGACAACGCGACCAACTGGGGAGGCCTTCGGTGCACAAAAGTCGCGTTTACCCATCACAGCGCTTTCAGAGATAACATACCATGATCTGCCAGGCTTGATTAACTTGAGCAAAGGCGTCTTGTGGTTCGTTCCGACGGAATACTGAATCCAGATGGGCGCGCATCCTGCGACGTTCTTCCATCCCGTTGTAAACAAAGAAGGGTACTTTCTAGGCACACGTCGCTCTTGTCCGATTCCCACGTGCTTTTGCTGTCCGTTAGCAGAGAGCATCTACGGACAAGTCCGACCGTCGGTTGTCCACGGACGTGCGCCGACACGAATAACACATGCGGACATGAATGTTCAAAAATGCCATTGTGATCGTGCCATGAATTCAGCATCGAAGAGAGCTTGCATAGTGCAGGAGACCGCCCACAGTGTTGTTGGCAGCAGATCACGAGACCAAAATTTACGACACCACGAAATGCGCTACAAGTGTCTCAGTATCCCTCGAGCCATATGATGATGCAACATCGCGTTGTAGCAAAATCAAACGGCGCTTACGTGGCCTCAAGCTGCCGTCGTTTCTCACTCCGTACCCTCGACACCGAGACCAACGCTGTCAATGTGGTAAATGCCGTGGAAAGGGGTCAACAGGGCGTGTGCAGACAGCGGAAACGCTGACTCTTGTTGGTAAAAGGGATGAACATGGGCATAGGTTTAGCCGTTGTGACTGCTATGGTTGGGGAATACTCGCGTCACGGCAGAGATCGTACTTGAATCACGTGTTCTCGCAGACGTGCGTGATAGCAGCTGCAAGAACACTACAGGTCACTGGTCCGCATCGGCACTCCGCGCACCAGTCTTGACCGAAGACAGAAGCTATGTACAGGTCGCGACGTTCGCAAAGCGAATTTGCTGTCGCAGGGTTTACGCGCGACGTTCGCGAAGCGAATTTGCTGTCGCAGGGTACACGTCGTGACGTTCGCATCCTACGCTACTTCCATCGGACGCCCCAGCTCGCCATTCACAAGACCGATGTCTATTGTAGTGGAAACTTGTTATGGCGTGACCCCCACAAGACTCCACCAGGAAGGAGAGGCACTTTTGGAAGACTCCATCAGTAAGGAGACCCTCCAAAACAATTTGATTTCGGACATTGACCGGTACGCACGCGTTTTCACACATAGCGCGCCCACCCGATCTCATCTTGCCGCACCAGCAAATTTTTTGACTGCGTTGTCTCTTCCCGAGAAATGTTGTCGG